TAATCTCTATGATACTGTTTCTTTTATGGCAGCTTTAGCAAATCTTCCTTTCTCTGTTAATATGTCAAATGTCAGTTACCTTTTCATCAGCTTCAGAACTGCTCTGAGAGCCCTTATAGAGCCTTAGAGAACAGGACTCCCTACTGTTACATCSTACCAAATAGGCTCACCTGAACTGCAGACTCTTTTTACTGATAGAGCAGTATTCCTCTAGTCTTGGACCACAAACAGGTGCGGATTTATCYGATTTTTGCTAAAGATGACAACTAAGCAACATGGTGCTTAGTTGGCCAGGTTTTTAGTCCTAAGATTTATGTGGAATAAATAGGTCTTGATAACTAAACATAAGACTGTATTTCCCTTGCTGTACTTTGATTTGTACTCCCATGGAGTGAAATAATAGAGGGAATAGGTAAGTKGAAGCTTATTCCAAGGAAGAGGATGATATAACTGCTTATACTATTTGCTGAAGAAGTGGTTTTTTTTTTCTGTTAACAAATTGCTCACAAGACAGTCTTTTTTCTCATCTTATGCGTTCGTAGGAATTTGCTAACTTGTTCAACTTTGTTTCCAATCCACAAGCTGCTGCATTGTGGTTTTGGTGTYTATTTAAGAAGGCTTGGGGCCAGTCACTTTGGCCACAAGATAATATTTTTGATCCATGCTTCTATAAAAGGAACCACAGTTTAGCCAAAAGATTTCTCAGGTTAAAAATCATCCCAGTAACATAAGGAATTCTTGGGCATTTTTCTGWCTTACTAGTGGTCAACAGTGCTGAGGACTGGTTGTTAATGTGAGGCTGTAAACAAACGGGAGGGAATTAAAGATAGTGGTTTGTAAATACTCTTGAATTACACAGGACGACCTGATGAAGCATAAACAATCCAGGAGATTTCTGGAGTGGGTTGAATAGTAGAGAGTGTGAGACATGGTTAAGTGAGGTATTCTTCTGGATTTGCTTCTGAAGAATAAATTGAAACTTGTTGAGGTTGTGATAGTGGCAGCCTTAGTTCCACTGTCCATGAGATGGTTAAAGTTTAGGCCCCTGAAGAAAATAGGGATGGATAATAACAAAATAAAAATCCTAGAAATTAGAAGAGTGGTCTTTGGCTTGGTTGAGGCACTGGCAGCAGGATCCGKTGTGGGGCTGCCCTGAAGTGTGAWGGAATTCAGGAGATCTAGGTGATTTCCAAGAGAATCTTTCCCAAACCACAAGAACTATCCCTACTGTGCAAGGAAACAAGCAGCATAGGAAGAGGCCAGTTTGAACAGAGAGCTCCTGACCTCACAGTAAAAGAGGTAGAAGGAGGGATAGACTTCTAAAGAGCAGTGGGGAGACATTGCCTGGATAAACAGAAATGGAATTGAGAGAGCCAGAGCTTGTTGAGGAATGGAAACTGGTGCATGCAATTGGGAATAACCAACATGGATTTACTATGGACAGATCATACTTTACCAATATCTCATTGTCTCAGTAATGAAATAAGTGGCTCTGTGGATGCTGTGAGAGCAGTCATTGTCCTTAATGTTGCCTTCAGTATAGACTTCAGTACTTGTAACAGACGTTGGAAGAAGTGTGATAGATATGGGGAAAAAGATATCCTTAAGGATGTTGGGGACTGGATTTGTTGGTTACAAGGTTGGTGAAAAATTGGCTGATTTGGTGGGATTTAAAAGATGAGCTGGTTGRGATTTAACTGGCACCTGTTTATGGACGGTGCTCCTCAGGGTTTGATCCTGGGTCTGAGTCATTGCAGTATGTTCATGGGTACCAGAGCTGGTGACATGGGACACAGTCTTATTCAGGCCCACCTGTCATCAGGTGACATCAGGGCTGCCTCTCAGAGCAATCTCAACAGCTTGAAGGAGTAGGATKACTTGAGCCTCATGAAGTCCAACAAGACAGAAAAGTCCAAAGCTGTGTACCTGTAATGCAGTAACTATCCCAGTACAGTCTTGATGCAGGTGGGCTAGAAAGGAGCTGCAGAAAGGGCCGTGTAGCTCCTGGGCTGGCAAGTTGACTCAGCAGGGTTCCCTCAGTGCTGAGGCTGGCTGTGCAGGCTGGGCTGGTAAAAGCACAGCCAGCACATCAAGGTCACTGATTATSTTTTTTGACTCAGCGTCGCTGAGGCTGCATCTAGAGTATTTGTTCAGCTTTGAGTCCTTTCCAGCAGAAGAGAGATTATTTACAAGGAGAAAATTCAGCACAGCAACAAACTAAAACATTTTGGGGCTAGAGCTCATGACACTTACTATTCAGTTGCTTACTAAATAATGCTTAATATTTAGTTGGCTGATWTTTTTCAATTTATTTGTATTGGGTAAAAAAATGCTAGACATRTATACCTTTAGTTTGTATTCTGCTTTAAAAAAAATACCTGAGGGAAAAATAGGTGATTTATGACCTTATTAGCCATTCTGAAGAATGACACCATGCCATCTAAAAAAAAATGAATTTTGTTTTAGGCTCCTGTTGCTAAGAAGGCTCATTCTCATTATTTATTCACTTCAATGGGAAGKAATGTTGCTCAGCTATTTTATAGACACTGTTCATGAAGACACATGAATCAGGTGATAGAGGCAGCAAGAACATGACTGTCTTGGTCCCTGATAGAAGAAATGCCACAGCCTTTCACAGCAAATWCCTGCCCCAGCCTCAGAGTCTTACATGCTGAACACCACTGGGCTCATCAGCCCTGTTTATTGTGGTCGTCCTGGTGTGGTGTTGTGATAATTAGGATGTGTTTCATTAACTGACATTGGGGAAGAGCATGCCAGMTGTTGTCTTATCCTTTGTTTCTTATGACATCCTGAAGCATATCCTGCCCTGGTTTTGACAGTATAATAATCAAATTCAGAAATTATTAGCCTATTTATTGGCCTCTGAAGGTATGTAAAGAATTCCTTTGGGTTGTGTAGAACATTTGGCAGTGTAAATTGGGCTGTCAGGCCTTAATTTTTAGGCTGACTGCAATTCATATGAAATCCAGCCCTGGAAACAGCTGCCTTACCTTTCCACAGAGATCCTACAACACAGGCAGTAGCTCTGTGTGTCTCACCAGTTTGCCTCAGACAGTGGATCGTGACCATCCCTGAGGAGGAGAAAAACTCTCATCTACCACTTCTCTGTTTGGCAGTGGAACTGTTCATACAGCTGCCAGTGAGCACCAGATGYGCTGGGAATGCCAGGAACCTGCTGGATACCTCTAAGTCATGTACCAAGATTCATCCATCATCTTCAGACGGAAATATTTTTCACTTGCTTCCAACAGATTTTGCTATCTGGACAAGGAACTGGAAGCAGGTGTGTTTGATGGGAAAGAAAATATTAAAAAATCAGTCACGCACACGATGAGTAATCTGATTTTCATGTTTCCATAAAAGCCAAACAAAGCACCAAAATTTATTGCAACACAATCCATGTTTATATATAATGTTAAACTTCATGTATAGTTTCCTTGGTAATYTGGCAAGAAGCCATGTCCTTCTGAGTAGCACAGAGTACTTTTTATTCACAGATAATTAAGGTCACTCAAACCCTAAAAGCATTTAGCRTTTTACATGTTCAGGTTCTTATTAATGACCATTTAATATAATTTAAAATTCTGTGATGTAAAGCTTTTTAACTTTTTCTTATTTGCACTGCAGTTTCTGTTATTGCTAGAAATTTGGGAAAGGACGCCAGCCAGGACTTGACTGTCTTGCATAATGCATAAATATTTACATGCCAGCTTTCACTGGAATGCTGACACTTCTGATAGGCTATCATTTCCATCAGCCACATAAATTAGGTGGTGAAGACAGAGCTTCTTATTTTTTTTCTTTTTATGCACCTTCTCTGTAGTGCTGTTAGAAATACACAGTTGAACAAATGTCCAGTTTAGCCATTAACTAAACTTAGTGTAATACTGGCTAGACACTCGCTTGTGTCCTGCTCTGTAAAATGCTCTCTGCCAGCTGAAAACACATTAAAAAAACAGGGTTTGCTCTACTCCAGACTAGCTGACAATTGTAATTGAGCATCAAGGAAGAAAAAAATGAGTATTTTGCCTTAAACCAAACCAGATCTTTCTGTTCTATATTCTGTACCGAGAATTCAGCTCCCAAATACATAATGAATAGCTTCTTCTCTTGACATGCAGGCTTACTCTAGGTTGGTTGTTTGCATCACTGTGTCAACATTCAYGGGGACTGATGACAGACTATGAAATCAATTGTGCAAATAGCAAGGGAACAAGGTGGTTTTGTTGCAGTTCTTGACAGGGAGGCAGCAAAACAATAGAAGTTTCTCATTGGAGATGATAATTAAGTGTGTTACTTTGAATTTGCTGGTAGTTATACAAATGTATTCAAAGTAACTCTGAGAGAAAATTTTTTAATTTATTTCTAAAGCTTTCAGAAAAAAAAAAAAACACTCTTCTTCTTTCATTCTATGTAAGTTGTAAAATACAAAAGCATCAGTTTGTAGTGATAGTATTGAAATAACATTGCAAGTTTACACTGGTTTATCCATTTCCATGAGCATGGTTGTTTTTCTCCATGATGAGCCCTTGGGAAGTGGAATAAGCATGAGAGTTATGAGATCYGAAGTTATCCAGTGCATGACCCCACAAGGAATACAGGCATGTTGTTGTGCCAGCCTGCTTTGCCATGGGGTRTATGATACTGGCTATTAAGATGTAAGTGCTATAGAAAGAGTCTCTTTRGGTT